AACTTCTTTCCTGACTAGTCCAATTTTTCTTTCACTATATATACGTGCTTCCTAGTTTTTCTTGAGGAGAGGGTGAGCACGCAGTTATTCTATCTTTTCAAAATAAAGTAGTGACATAACAACTGGGGGCCTGACCGATTCTCGTGTCAATTCAGCATCACACAAGAAGAGCCCGAATATTTATTTGGAAATATATTATTTATTAATTAATGCAAGGTTACAATACAAGAAGCAAAGCTACTTCATTATCAACAACAAAAGTTAAAGAGCTAGATATGAAAACTGAGCAGGACACGCTAGTGGAATTATCTCATAATAAAGAAGAAACCAAACCATCAACAACAATATCAAAAGCTACAGTAATGGATATGAATGATAGTCATGCCTTATTACCAGATTCGAATGATATCAGTAATAAGTCACATGTTGAATCACAACATAATGCCCGAATTGACTTAGAACAAGAAGCATTGTTATTAGATAACGCTCAAGAACGGCTGTTACCGCTTGTCTGTCAATCAAAGGCATCATTCAAGATTCCCTTATTTGATGGTCAACCATCAACAAGTTTTACTGATGCACAAGAATGGCTGGATATTGCCATGATTCATTTACAGAAGTTTAGTTATGCTGATGATCGTTTGATTCTAGAATTGGCATCGTATTTACGTGGTACTGTAGCCAGATGGTTTAGAACAAATCAGCAGAATTTTAAAACATGTGATGAATTTGAACAACACTTTATTGCTAAATTCCAAAAACAAATTATGACACAAACAAATAATACAAACAATGTTCAACAAACATCTTCCGTTGATCAACAACCTATGTCAGGAAATGAGTCAACATTGAATAAACACATTATTCAACAATCATCAGCTAATTTCACAACTGATCAATCTCATCCATCATTCGTTAAAACAGCAGCAATTAGTATAAGTAATCAATCACAACAACATGTTTTAAAATTTTCAGGATCACTAGATGAAGATCCTGGTGTATGGCTTGATTCTCTATTAGTTGTTATTGAGAATACTGATATGAATCCTCAACAACGACGGGATTTTGCAGCTGCACAATTAGTTGGTAAAGCACAAGAATGGTATCGCCGACATCGTCTACAAATTTCTGATATACATGCATTTATCAACGAATTCATTAATACCTTTCTATCAACAAAAAGAACAGTCGATATAGCAGAAGCGTCACCAGCATTGACAAATGAAATAATAGCATCTGACATTAATACGGTCATAACAAAATTTGAACAAGAGTTACGATTAAAAACATCAATTAGAATTATTGATGATTTTCCTTCATTTACAGGTAAACCATCCCAAAATATTGACAAGTGGTTGAATGATATGCACAGAATGTTGATCAAAATGAATATTAGTGATGATACAAAGCATCAACAAATTGTTAAAAAACTAACAGGTGCAGCAAAGGAATGGTACAATAATCATCAAGAAGAATGTTCAAATTATATATCATTAAAAAATGAACTGAAAACAACATTTTCATCATCAATTAGAGACGAGATGGCATTTCAACGACTACCACGGCAACAAAATCATAATGAAACAATTATTGATTATTATAACCATGTTTTAGACTTATGCAAACAAGCTGATCCAAATATGAGTGATGAATCCATAGTTAAATATTTAAAACAAGGTGTTAAACAATCATTTCGTGAAAAAATTATAGAACAAGATCCAACAACACCCAAAGAATTTCTTCGAGTAGCTCGTCGAATTGAAGATATAAAAGCTAGTTTAACAATAAATACAACATCCACATTAACATCATCTAATTATGCTTCGCCATCGAATGGTTATCATCCATCTCGTCCATATAACAATAATAATTATAATTATAACAATCGTGGTGAATATCAACAACAACATTTATTACCTTTACCGACGATGCAACCAACAACATCCATGTTACCGCAACGAGACGAGAATATGTCGTTATCATCCAATAATCATAATAATGATTCATCTCGACGGCAAAATATTACGTGTTACGGATGCGGCCAACCAGGACATTACCAAAGAGCGTGTCCTCAAAAGCAGCAACGACACCATTTTCAGTAACGAGATCACTGGATGGTAGTGATCTCGTCAATAATAATATTAATAATCCATCACCGTTACCGTTCATTTGCATTCCAGTTAATAATATGTATATAAAAGCATTAGTCGATACCGGAGCAACACGTAAAATTATTCAACAGGATGCATTAAACAGAATTCGACATAAACGCGATTATCCAGCTCAACAATGCTATCATTTAGCTGATGGTGCTTCATCATTATCCATTATCGGCTATGTTGATCTTGAGATTCGAATCCAACATGTTAGAACATATGTTACAGCAGCCGTTGCAAAGTCATTATCATGCCCACTGATATTGGGACAGGACTGGATCACATATTACCATGTTGACTAT